TGCATTTTTTGGCATTCCCTTTACAGCTAAGCATCGTCAGAGTACCTGTCGGTCAACAGAATCGAATTCCGCCTTCAAGTCAAGAAATATAACGATTGTTGGACGCCGGTAAGAATGCCTATGTTCTAGAATCTGTCAAAGGGTGAAGATATAATCAATACACCCTCTTCCTAGTTTAAAGCCTGTCTGGCTCTCTCGTGTTTGTGCCTCTCGAGCACCATTTAGTCTACGCATGATTATTGAGCCTAGGACTTTAGATAATATATTAGTCTAGCTCATCCCTCTATGATTATCACAAGAAGACTTGTCTCCGTTCTTGTATATGGGGATAATCAATGACTTACATCAACCCGACGGGACTTCCTCTGATTCCCAACTGACTAACTAAATGATTTACCTATCAACCTAGAATGGTAAAAACAAATTGTCACACTCGCAAATAACACACAAAGGTAAAGACAGAGAGAGAAATTAACTCAAAGGAACCGTAATAAAGGGAAATGTACCAAAGAAAGAATAGTCACCAGGATAAATAAAGGGGGGATTTGATCAATCTAGGAGTTCACATAGAAAGTGATGACATTTATGGCATTGACAACGTTTATTATTAAGCCATATCATCAATAGTTTCAAGATACTGAATCTTGACACCAAGAGGACCCTAGAGTCAGAAAGTTTACACCCACACCTACAACCTGGATAAGTACCAGGATTTGATCTGATGTCTTTCAACCTTTTTTTCCAACTTAATCCATATGCCAACACAGGGAGTTGACACAGAATGTGTAGCACGTGTCCTAACCAGCTTAAATCACAATGCAGCTTTCACGATCTCATCGATTGATTGTTAGGTGTGATACAAAACAAAGAGAATGACAGCACTAATACACAGACATACAATTCTTTGAGGAAGATTCAACCCGTACATTTTTGGTATTGTTATTCATTTGCTTTAATTCTTAACAAACACTGGTCAGATGGAATTATAATACCTATGTGTCGACGCAGTAAAAACTGATCAACCCAAACAAAATTTATTGTTTTATAGTAGTGAACATGTCTGAACCTATAAGCAGATGTTTAAATAAATAAACAATAAACAGCTTCGCAAACTAACTATCCAGCTCAGAGAACAAAACCACATCAAAATTATCCACCTGAGCTACAAATCTTCTCTATCATATCTAAACAGAATCCTGCACTAACATGTATTGTTGTTTTACTTTGCTATGCTGCTATACCACAGAACTTATCCCATTACTGTCAAGTTCTACAATTAATCATAACTTTCCAATGTCCAATTTTCAATTGATATTCAGTTTTTGTGGTACTTGTTATAATAAGTTAAATAAGTTGATATTAAACCTACACTTCTGTATATCTGATTCATAACAACAGTAAGAAGCTTTGTAAATTGATGATTATTTAGTAGTTTGCCTACTTTTAAATTCTTTTTCAACCTTAATTCAACGTCAGCTACTATATCTGGCCGAAGAAAGTGGTATTTGGCCATGCTAGCCACTTCAGATGATAAAAATTCAAAACTAAACTCATCTAATACTGTGCGTGTAATGTCAACATCAGTCAGGTCAAAATAAACCACAGCATGATTTCATGAGAATTTAATTATATACGTCCCTTGAGCGGAATCCAAATAGAAAGAAACGAGTGGGTCGTCGATGCCAGGATGACATGGGGGAGATTAGATTGTGTAAGGAAGAGATGAGGAAGTTTGGGCAATCGCGGACCCAGTTGAAGAGGATGGCGGAAAACTGAACAAAGTGGAGATGTTAGATAGTTGGAGGCAATCGGCCACAAGAAGCCTCTGACTTAGGTTTCCTGCTAGTTGGCACTTGTCAGCAAGGCGTATCTGCAACCTTAAAGGAACTCATGTCCCCTCTGAGATTCGAACTCATAGAATTCAGTCTGCACCAAAGAAAGAACTAGACACGTCACATTAGTAACTAGTATCCAATCAAAGTGGAGATGTCTTGTTGAAGCCTTATGTTCCACTCAGAACTCAAGGAATTTATAATAATAATAATAATAATAATAATAACTTTCGAGCTCTCTATCACCCATAATCTATTACATTGTTCAGATATCAGTAACAAGTCAGATTTTCTTATAAAAGTGCAGCAAATTTAACGCAGTTCAAGAATATAATGCCACAGAAAATCCAATCGTTCATTTAAGAAGCATGTGAAAATGTATAACTTGTGAATAAACCGCCATAGTAATGGACTCCAACACTACAATTACCGGGGATATGCAATAAAGCCACTCGATAAAACTGACACTAAAAACTACACATCTCAACATATCCCAAAACAGTTAGAAATCTTAAGGAAATATACGGTTCAGAATATTTTTGAAAATTTCTTATGCGCATCAATCTTTTCAGTGATAGCTGCTAGCCTGATAATGACAGATGTATTTTATTTTGCTTTTATTAATTTTGATTATAGCTTGATTCCACACACCCTATTTTTAGTTCAAGTACGGAATTTTCAGCATGTGATATCGGTAGGCCAAATTTTGCAGGCCGACTATAGATATCAGGTGTGCGTCGACGGGGGCTAGAACCCCGGACCATATGCACGGTCGACGAGAGTCCTCTAACCGCTGTGCCACCGACGCATTCCAAGTTGTATAAAACACAAAGCTTAATTGTGAATTCTAATGAAATGGAAATTTAACTTTATGACATTTTTTATTTCAAAGTTGAATATATTTTATTCGTTAAGCATTTTTTTAATACCCTTAAGGTGTATATCGTTAGCATTGTTTAAATTCATTTGTATTTCCCGCCTATTAACCAGTATGATTAGTATGTCCAAGTTGAAATGTTGCCTCCTAATATGAGTACCTCAGAACTATCTGAAAGTTAACATGATATTGCTTTGTTGTATAATGGATAACTAGCAGTAGAATCCAGGATATGCATTTTGTCTTATTTGGCACTCGTAATCAGGATGTACCTTCATCTCCAAAGAATGACAGTGTAGTCGTCCAGCACATAATCAACCAACAGGAAGTTAAAATTAACTGAAATAACAATAATAACTGGCACTCGTTGCACAAGATTTGCGCGTTTCATCATAGCCCAGTAGCCTAGTGGATAAAGCTTTGGTGCTTAAAAAGGTGAGCACACGGTTTCAGTCCCAACGGGGGAAATCATCACCCACTGAGGATGTAGGTAAATCCAAGTGATGACACCCAAATAAGATGTGAAACGCGCATCCTTGATTCCACTAAAGCCAGTCACCATCAGCTAAAATAACAAGGTTATTAGCAGTAACTGCCTTTGTGATAGTTTTACCTACAGTGATAATGCAATCTAATGCTTTGCAATCTAATAACTTTAAAGTTCAATAGCTGTGACATTGTGAAATGTAACTATTTTTTAACATCTAAGTATACCTAGTAAAAAAACATATTTCAAGCCTGATGGAGAACCATTGAAAACCAGGAGTACTGGACAGTTGTTTCCCCCTAAATTGAGACACTTCATCGGGAAGTTTTAGTTTGACCAGTGAAGTGTATCAGCTTACGTGATAAGACAAATATTCACCTATGACATTAGCTGTCAGCTGCGCTGAATGTCGCAAATCAAAAGAATCTAAAATTTATAGGCTACGAGATTCGGACCCACTGGCGCAATGCTCAACATGCCCGCCACGTAAACCGGAGGTCTTATATGCGATCCCTGATGGATTCATGAGTACGTATTATCGAGAAGTCTAAAACTAGCACGAAACAGATATTCAGTACGTTCCGAAGTAAGTTCATTTTCAAAAAATAAAATCAGTCAAGTCTCTGTGGCTCAACACTTGGAAAACAGAATTCTAAGAAAAAAAGAGGCTCGGTAAATAAAGTCTGACGAAATATGAAACTAAAATCACTATCACAGTCTACCAGCTCGCCTTGTAAGCAGACCGTCTTGAATTCGAACCCCAGTCGGCGTGTACTGCTGAAGAGCCCCAAACTAGGCTGACGGAACAGATATCTAGTAGTACTCCCTAGTGGTTTTCCAATGGTTAACTCATGAGGAAATCCTGACACATAAGTCGAATCCCTACAAACCAACTCTTGAACGCCATATAAATTTGAAATTCACAGATAAAAATTGAAATTAAGTTATATTCAAGCTTTGGTTTGTAGGGATTTGATTGATTGGTTACAGGATTTCATCATGAGCTGACATCAGTTAGAGAACCATTTGAAAACCTAGGGGTACTGCAGAGCTGTTTCCCACGTCCCAGTTTGGGACTGTTCAGCAGTATGCACCCACCGGGATTCGAACTCAGGACCTTCTGGTTACAAGGCGAGTTCTTAGATCATTGAGCCACTGGGACCCGATCCAATGGCCCACAAATTCTAACTTCTGCCAATTCACGACATAGCGTGACCTCTAGACAATGTCTTCGGCGGCGAGTATTTGTCCTCACACCCGAAATTAAATTAAATTTTAGATTTTATCGTCGATTGATAGAACCGAAATGCTTGGTCCCGGGTTGACATGTCGGCTTCTTGTGCAGGTGCTTCGACGATTTCTGGGCATGTAATTCGAATTTAATTGGTGGATGATGACTAACTAGCATTGGAATCCAGGATAATGCGCATTTCTTCCTATCTGGAACTCGTCATCTGCATGTACCTGCATTTCTCAGTGAGTGATGATGTTCCCACCGTGGCTCAAACCCAGTGCCCGTAGTTTCAAACGCCAAAGCGTTATCCACTAGATCACTTGGGCCACGAGAGCTAGCCACCTCTTGTGCAACGGGTCATATTAATTATTTAATTGAATTTTAGATATTCCTGTCAATTGATCGGACCAAAATGCTCGGTCCCAGGTAATCCAGTGACGAGTCCAAAATAGGACGAAATGCGCATCCTGGATTCCACTGCTAGTCACCATCTATCAATTAAAAATTGAAATTACTACTATTTGTAACCATAATCATCATTAATTATTCTTCTTTTACAAAACCACTTACTTGGACTACTCATCGAACGACAATGACTTTGTTGTTTACGTAGTGTCTTACGTCGGTGTAAATTTTCATCATCACCACAATGTATCATTTGATTATTATCATCATCTTTTTTTTCAGTCGTAACAACCTGATGTTTATCACTTGCCTTTCTGCAGACAATATTATTATTCCATGACTGTTTACCCTGATCATTATTTATTGAATTTTGTTTTAAATTCGCCTGTTTATGTGTAACGACTTTAACTTTATTATTTATTTTCCGATTACAATCATTTGATGATGATGATGATAAGGCTTTGGTTATTTCTTGATTGCTTGATTTATCTTTTCTCTGAATTAATTGATTTTGACAGCTGTCTTGTTGAGGAGTTGTATAATAATTTTCTTTTAAAGAGCGATCACGTTGATTTTGGATGTGTTGTTGTTGGTGGTGGTGCTGAAGTGACACAGTTGATATTGATGATGAATGTGTAGAGCTTTCATCAGTTGTTGTAGGACAATAAATCCCATTAACTTCAAACGATTTCTCCTCCTCTTTCTTCGTCTGTTGTTCATTACATAATGCTCCAAGTGAAAATGACTCTTTAGATATGTGTAAAGGTGTTAGCAGTACAGAAGAGGTTGATGGTGATGAAGATAATAGACATGAAGAATCGATAGTAGGAGACAGTGAATTAGGGGAATCTTTCCTTCCAGCGCCTAAAGATATTTCTTTGCCAACAATCGCAACAGCTCCACAACTACTAGTCTCTTTATCAGTAGTAATATTAGAATCATCATCGTGGAAAATTCTAACTTCTTCATGAATATCATTCTCATCTTCATTATATGCATTACAGGATATTGTATCAAATGATTTCATTGAATTCGGTGGTGGTGGTGATGATGAGGATAATAAGAATAATAATTCATTGCAATGGCGATTATCATAATGGTTAATAAAGTTTTCTTCAGGAGATTTCATTGAACAATGGAATAAGGCAGAATTATTCTCACTTTCTTTACTTGATATGGATGAAGATAAAGTTGTTGATGATGATGATGATGCAATAATTAATGATGATTTTGGTGATGTTGATGAAGTTGTTGGTGGGAATAGTGTTGTTGTAGAGGTTGTTGTTGTTCCTGTGGCTACTGCAGTTGATTCTCCAGGTGTGATCGGTAATCCAGTAATCGTTGTTATGGTTGTTGCTGTTATTCCATTGCCAACAGTTGGAAATAAATAATAATCTTGAACTTGAGAATTAGTCATAAGTGTATTTAACATTCATCCATTATATATGTATGTTTATATGTTATTTATTATACAAATAGAGAAAGATTAAGTTAAGTATATCTTTCGATTTCAATGTTATCATCATTCATTTTGTTCTATTGTGTCTGTTACTCTTTATGAATAATCCAAAATTTTGAATTGAAATAAATTGACATTAAATGATCATAGAAAGAACAAATCTGAAATAAAGAGAAAATGATTAAAAAGTTGGAATAAAAACTGATGCATGCAGGATTTCATCATGAGCTGACATTAGTTGGAGAACCATTGGAAAACCTGGGAGTACTGCACAACTGTTTACACCGTCCTTCAGGACTCTTCAGTAGCACGCACTCACCTCCAGGGTTCGAACCCAGGACCTTCTGGTTACAAGACGAGCTCGTATATAATTAAGCCACTGGGACCCGATCCAATGGCCAGACTATGAATTCTAACTTCTGCCAATTCACGATATAGCGTAACCGCTAGCCAATGTCTCAGCGGCGAGTATTTGTCTTCACACCGACCTGCTGCACCCTACTGGCCACCGGTGTGTGCGTACTGCTGAAGAGTCTCAAACTAGGACGGGGGAAACAGCTGTCCAGTACTCCCCGCAGGTTTTCCAATGATTCTTTAACCAATCTCAATGGATCTATTCCCTAATTATTGCCTACATTACTGAAAAGAGAGATAGTTGACAGTGAATGTTAAGGTATCACACTACCTCGCAAAAATAATAACATCAACCATTACTACTGAAACTTCTTATACAGTCTTAATTACCAAACATTTTCATTACGAGACATTCTCATTATATAGTAAGTGGATTGCTTCATTTGTTTTTTTGAGTGGATGTCATTCTTACATTGGATTACGCAATGGATATAGAATAGTACTCCATAATATTATTTCTTTTAACCAAAAATAAATGATGATGATGATGAAAGCAGTAGGATCCTGTCATTACAACAACAAAGGAAAAAGTATTTCAATCTCCCGTCTGTAATATCTGTATGCGTCTAACTGACATCACACAAAAGATAAGATAAAAGTTTCTACCGGGGAATTTATAGTATCAAAGAAAGCCTTCATTGAAAAGAAAAAAAGCTGATTAGCACCAATGCTCAGAGAAAAAACCGACTGTTCCTTCTCATATGGGAATTCAATGATATATTAGATTAGATTAGATGAAAGGGATTACAAAAATAAAAATAACATTCTGCCCCTAGTGACAATGACAACTGGTCTGTGTTAGTTATCCGTATAGTAAAGACGTGTAAAAAAAAGAAAGTGAGGGAAAAGCGGTAGAAACAACCAACACATAGATGACAAAGAAAAATGATGCGTGCAAGATAATCAAAAAAAAAACTTGCAGTGAATTCTCAGTTAATTTTAATCGTACAACGTCATAATCACTTCAGTGTGTTTTTCACAAATATGCGTATTATAAAAGTTAAAACTTCTATCTGTCTGGTTTTGTTCCACTTTAGTTTCATTTTAGTTTCAATTTCAAACTGTGAACACAACTCTGTTTATCAGATTTTGTGCAGGAAAAAGAAGAAATTAAGAGGAACAGCATTACCCTCTGTGCGTTGGTGGTACAGCGGTAGAATGTTCGCTAACCACAGGGGTGGTTCGAGGTTCGATCCCCAGCCGACAGACTCCTTTACCTGGGGTAAAGAGGGAAGGTTGAGTATAAGGCTAGCAATCCCATCCCGTAAAAATAATTACCACTACCCTATGTTCCACTGGGAATGTAAAAGGAATAAAAATGAAATAATAATACAATACCCCTCAAGATTGTTTATGCCTCAAATCACCGAAAATACCCATTGCAGTCATGAAGAAAATAAAAGACGATTCAGTGAAGAAAATTTTCTTTATCGACGAAATCATCTTCACAGGCTGAACAGTCGCATTTACACTTAGAAAAACATATAGTGGTCTATTTCACACCCTCTTCACACTTGTTAAATTGACACTCAAATACCTTTATTCTCACTCAACAGCAATTTTAACCTTATGAAATTTTTCTATCTTTGTGCCGTTGAGTACCATGTAATTTACAACTTTTAATTCTTTTCATTTCTAAAGCCACTTCTGAGTAATTATATCAATTATATCACCCCCAATTACTCAATAATAGACCACTATATATTTTTGTAAGTATAAATACGACTGTAGAGCCCCTGAAGATGATTTCGTCGATAAGGGAAATTTTCTTCGCTGAATCTGTCTTTTATTTTCTTCGTTGTTTATGCCATTAAAATTATAAAATCTTTTTCTTAATGACTTTTATTTACAGTAATTTCAGTATTAAAAGTGTCTTGTTTACAGTGAGATAACGCGTTTCACTGACTTATTGTTGCTTATTTTTCGTCAGTGCCCAGCAGTACAACACAGAAAATATGCGTGTTGGCGAGACTACGCTTAAACAGCATATATACGCTAAAATAAATATTGATTAATTTGGTCCAGATATGCTGACTCCATTATTGCTAAATTTCTAGAAGGAGGGAAAGGTGCCCAATAACTGGAGGAAAGGTTACCTCGTGAAACTACCAAACAAGAGCGAATTACGCCTCACTCTGCAAGAACTGGAGGGGAATCATGCTCCTATAGACACCAAGTAAAGTCCTGAGTCGCATCATACTTGCGAGAATAAAGGACGCATTGGATACAGAACTCCGACCAGGACAAGCTGGATTTAAGAAAGGCAAATCATGTTCTGATCAAATCGCAACTCTAGACATCATCATCGAACAAAGCATGAAATGGCAAACAAACCTCTACCTCAACTTTATAGACTTTGAGAAGGCCTTCGATAGCGTTGACCGCGAAGTAATTTGGAAACTACTCGAGTACTACGGCGTACACTGCCCCAAATATTCATCAACCTTATTCAACAGCTGTACGACAACGGCACATGTCAAGTGATCCACGACAGAAAACTCAGCGAGGCGTTTGGAATAAACACAGGAGTCAGACAGGGCTGTCTGCTTATTATCACCAATGATATTCCTAATTGTGTTGGACTGGATTATGCGTCAGACAGTGAGTGGGAAACCAGAAGACAGGGATATCCTGGACCAACCGACGTGAAGAACCTAGAAGATCTGGATTTCGCGCGTGGATGATTTATGTTTGATGTCACTGTCACAAAATCGAAGACTTACAAGCGAGCGAAAACCGACCAACAAACTGGTCGAAGAAGCAGCCAGCGAAGACAGGACTACAGGTGAACACAGACAAGAAGGAGGTTATGAAAATAACCAAACAACCAACAACAAACACACAGGAGGGATTTGAAAGAGGTTACTTCATTCACTCACTGATCTAGAGAACATTGTCTGAACTACAGGAAGTCGGAACGGACGAGGAAGTCAAATAAAGCGAGAATCCGGAAGGCGAGAAACACATTCATCAACCAACTGAAACCAATCTGGAAATCTTCGTCACTCAACTCAGAATCAACAACAAAATTCGGTCGGATTTTCAATACAAACAACGTCAAGTCAGTTAGTTCTTCTATACTGATCAGAAATTTGGCGGGCGGGTCACAAAGAACATTACCAACAGCCCGTTGCAGACCTTTATAAACAACTGTCTTCGCTGGATCTATACTGAAGATCAGATGGCCGGGCCGGAAAGAATCACCAACAAGAAACTATGGGAACAAACAAACAAAACAAGAACCAATCACCTAACAACAACAAATATGCAGGAGATGGTGTGGAGATGGATTGGGCACTCGCTGAGGAGGCGCCACGGGTTGACATCACGCGTCAGTGGAGCCCGAAAGGGAAGCGGTGAGTTGGACGTCGATGCAAGGGTGACGTGGAGGAGATCGTGTGAAGAGGAGTTGGTTGAAACAATATGGACTAACTAACATGGATGATGCAGGTGAAAAGTACAGCAGAAGGAGACAGAAGTGGCAAGTGGAGACGTGCAGTTGAAGCCCTGTGTTCCACTTGGAACCCAAGGGATCAATAATAATAATAATAATAATTTGGTCCAGATATATATTAACGGGAGGTTGCAGACATGAGCACAAATGAGAAATAGCCTTGAAATGACTGTATCATCTCAAAACTTTCAATGAATCAAATCTAGCCTAATGAATAATTGTCATTTACACATTTTTTTATTACAGCTTGATTCCACACCGTATTTTTGGTACAAGTATGGAATTTTCAGCGTGGATATCGGTAGCCCGAAATTCGCAGGCCGACCATAGATATCAAGTGTGCGTCGGCGAGGGCTCGAACCCCGGACCACGTGCATGGTTGGCGAGAGTCCTAACCACTGTGCCACCGACGCACCTTTCTATAATGGTCGTCTAGACCTTGCTTCAGTTTTGTAGAATTAGATTACTTACATTTTGTAACATTGAAATTTAGCTATGTTTGTTAACTTTCAGATCAGATTAAGTTATCATCAAAATACAAAACGATTGATGGCTGCTGCTTGCATATTGGAATGAACTATTGTGTTACACTGGCTGAAACGAAATTGCCTGAGGACCCTACCATATCGTACATGTAAATAGATAGTGGTTAGACAAAAAATAAATTACCATCATAACGCCTGATAAAGAAAAGAGATCTAACAGCTGTAAGACGCTTCTCTCAGCCAACCAGTAAGCTAGCCACTTATACTAATTCTTCGCCTTGGAGATAAAGGTTAGAAAGGTAAACTCCATAAATGGTATACCCTTATTTATCCTGTGGTTGTCGACAGTTGATGTTAAAGGTCTTTGTATAAGCGCAGCTTTTTTTTAACCAAATACTGGACAAGCTACATTAGACTATTGGTGTTGGCCATAGTCACATTTTGCAAAAATAGGATAAATAAGATGTGTGTGTGTATGTGTGGGGGAGGGGGGTGTATTTCAACTTAATTCTCTATCTATCATTTCTTTTTTCCTATTCTCTCCATGTTTATCTAGATAAGTTATTATTTTTGGTTATATATTCATTTCACCTACATTGTTTTAAGCAGAGTAGGACTAA